AAAGTGTATAAGGAGGTGTATGAAAGAACAGTGCGATGTAACATCAAGTGTCTGCAAAATACTTGAATGCGAACCATAAATACGATTACACTCACAAGTCTGAGACATGTCATTTGGAACGGAACTGATATTTAGAAGTATCTTTCTCCGCAAGGCTTCCGGCGAAGGCATGAATTGCTGCAAACAGAACAGTGGGCGGTGTTGTGGGTTGGCAGTTTTAAAGATTGAACATAGGATATGTTTGATAACAGAATCATTAATCATGGGTGTTTCTTACTGATAACGTAGATTTCAGTGCGCTTTCAAATTCATTCGTGCCATATAAGATAACGGTGTTCATTTATGTGTTCTGATTGAAATAAGGAAGTTTACCCTGAACAATTGAACCTAGAAGCATTTAGCCCATTCAACCAAGGGGCAAATAAACCTCTCTTCCAGACCTCCACAGATCATAAGCACGGCAAGCAATCGTTTGCTAAAGTTTGTTAGAAACTCGGTACTTCCGAGTGTATGATTGACTTGAAGGGATAAAGAAGGTGCATGAAGGTGAAGTTGGAAGGATGATCAGTTACAATTCATCAAAATAAATTACTTTGCGTTTTTGTAAATATCCCTGTTGATGGGCGTCTTCAAGACATACGAATTCGATAAAGTACTAGCACCGTACGGATCGGGGCGACTTCTGAGAGACATACCTACAATTGGTACCTGTTGTCTGATGGTCACACCAGTGAACACGAAGAAGGGCGCAATGTTCTGTTTTATAACTTTTATCGATCATGATTCCAGTTCCGTTTAATTCTTTTCTACTCCGAATCGGGCTACGAGCATAAATTTATTCCAACCGGTAGTTTGGTCGAGAAACACATTTGAATGACTGTGTACAGCTGTTTAATTTAGACTAAACAACATGCGGTTCATTGGCAAAATACGAGAGGTTTCGTGCATGGCACAGCTGATATTTTTTTTGTTTCACACAAAGACGAATTACATGCAGTTGTAAAAAAACAAGCTCGTTTGAGGTGATTCATCTACCGGCAAATTCATCACAATTTATGTCGAAAGGCCCAACACTGGAGGAAGAGGTCACAACAAAGTGGGGCAACAAGTGATCAGCATTCCAGTTCCGTGACAGGATATTTGCTCACTCTTTTGTCATCAAATACCCATATTAGTTTGAATTGACTAAGGGTGAGTAGGGGGATGAATGCGTTGTTTTTGTTGTCGGTAGACCGACTGTTCTCAAGGACAGGAACAATGGAACGATTTGTGATGCCTGACAAAGAACACTGGACAGCTCAAGTCATCATCAACAGGGTCTGGTGACTGAACAATCAAATGAACTTTCGGGTTGGGACTTCCAAGTCATTACCCCTGAGCTACGCGGTCGATGGTCATCACCTTATGCGAATGGCTCAATCAATTTACAGTCAATCACCTGCTATGTAGCACCCCTCGGGAATTCAAAGAAGTGGGTAAATTCCAGGAACAGAGATATAGTATGTTAGTCAGTAGTAGACACTGATAAGTAGTATAAAAAATCGTTTGGGAGTTGTGACAAAATAAACCGGATCGATGAAAAGTACACTACTTCCTTCGCTTATTCTCAATGCTTATGATTATTTGTTTATAATGGAATTTAGATATACCGTCCTGCGTATCATTTATGTATCCAAGACATGAAAATCCTNTACGATAACCACGATGTTACACTTTCTCCAGTTATGCTCCCACAAAACAGTAACGTGACTCTTTCTTTGGATGTTTTGAATCCATTAACTGTTCTTTCTTTGAGACTTAATGGTCTTTTTGGTAGCTGCCTGTAACACAAAGCTGTTTCATCTGCTTTGAAAATAGCACAATCAACGTATCCATTGATCAACTGCGGTAACCTTGCTCGAAACTCGTCCACTGCATCAGGTGGTGCCTCCAAACTTTCCCCGCAAAACTATTTGCCTATCTCTAACTTTGTATAGTTGAATAACACATCTGCTTGACCAAAAGAGAAACCAATTTTGAAAGTCAAGAAGTCACAATGATGTATTCTTTGAGCTAACTGAATTGCTCTCTTAAAAATGATGCTCTCCGTCATGAAGAGCTCGCCGTGCTTTTCACTCATAGCAGTAAACCAAGCTAAGGTTGCCTCATTCATTGTCTTGAAATTTTCGTTGGCTTTCAGATGGCATCTTCCCTGGAATGCTCCAGAGTTTATAAATTATCCGATAGTGGTAAACAGTTTTTTTCCTGAAATACCAAGTGATTCAGCTGTGAAGCTCTGAGTTGCATTTGATTAATTCAGCATTTCCAACAAGTTCTGATCGATAGGCGATCGCACATTTTGAATTCAAGTGACAGCTTTCGATTATTGGTATCGTTGTGCGTCTTCCTAACAAAGATTATTCAATCCGTGAACAGTATCATGTTCGCGTCACACTCGGTGAAACACCATTGACTGAGTGCGACATTGCAGGCTGACTGGTCAATGGTCGTCCCGAACATTGGTCAACAACCATGTGAGTAGGTACCCGGAACTGCGACATATTGAGGGGGCGACCTTGCCTACTCAGAAACTACGTTATTACGCATACGGTTGGTTTAGGTTTTCAAAAATTTGGGAGGATATTGAACAATGCGACTTCTCAGGGGTAGGGAATTGACAGTTTGCGGACATTGGGTCATTGGCCAACAGTATCGATTAGCCAACACCCAGACATTGCAAACAGAAGGAGTGTGATTAAAAGAATGAGAATGGCGACTGGTTAATATTCGTTTGATGACATTTCTGTTTGCACGTTATTTAATACCATTGATTTCTTTCAATAAAGTAATCGCTGCTTCTTTGGTCTTTCTTTTGCGTCTCACTGGCGGGAGATTCCAGCGTACGACTGCTAGTGCGATTCTGTGCTTCAGTTGCAACCGTGATTTGTTATCCGTAATTCGTATCTACTTCGATTATTGCACATTACGACAAATTTAGGATACATGCAACTCTTTATGTCATGTTTGCCCAAATTATTATAATCCGCTCGAGTTGGGTTGACAAAAACAGTGTCAAAGATACATTTGCTTTGTGAGCAAAAATTGGTGGCATATTTGGTCGATTGAACAATACTCTCCCTGGACGTTAGCTCGTTGTTCACAAATGTTCGACTCAGCGAAACGATTGAATATCGTTTGTGCAGTGATGTACGAAACAATAACGTAAAGCTCGGCTTCCCTTTGGATGACCTAAAACCACTGCTTCATTTCTGCACATTTCATTATTAAAATGATCGACGAGATCTATCGGAAAAACGATGGCGTGGCGATGAGGTCTCTGCTGGGACCGCTATGCGCGGACGTATTGCGAAACTTGAAAACACTCAATTCATCCAATGAAGACTGTGCACTATACACGCAGGAACTAGATGATTTTTTGTGTGATCTACGCAAGCAACATTGAACACAACGGAACTATTTAGCAGGTTGAAAACTGTTCATCCTAAACGCAACATTTACCTCAGAAATGCAGTGTAACCATAGATTGCCGTTTAGATGATGAATTTGTTGTGTAAATGAGACATGGGCTGAAAAACTGGGGAGCACTGGACAGCTATTTCGACCTGGTTGGGTCTCATCAGCCGTGCGAGTCCATCGACCCAACTGGGGATCAAATCCGGGACTTCACCGGTAGAACGCAAGCATACTACCCAATCGGCCATCAACCTGCAACTGTCTGATCGACCAAATGAGCGTTTTCCACCGAAATAACAACGTTCCAAACTCTGTGGTCTCATTTGGTCTATACTCATTTACTTGGTCCTGTGGAATAATGTACATAGAGCATACGGTCCGGCGATTGTATGAAGGGATTCGTGAACACTACCCTGTGTGACTGAACACCGGAACGATTAAATCAATAACCACTTCAGTGGTTTCACACCGAGGCTGAAATAAATCACGCTGTGAACGTGGCCGAGACTTTCCATCCCGCTGTATAAAGTTCGTGGACGATTAACAATGCTGGTTCGTTGTCGGATGTTGACCACAGAATCGGCGGCGGTGAGAATTCGTTTGCACAACCCCCTTCCTTCTGTGTGTCAAAAAACAATTTTCGAACGCGCTAAAGCTTCCCTGGCCCAGCCGCTGCAAACGCACACACACCGTATCACGAGTAATCTCGCAGATCGGATGAGTGAACAAACAACTCTGTGATTGGAGTGAATCCGATTTCCGGTCTCGTGATGAACTCGATTCCAGTAATCTGTGATGAGATTTTAGTTTTTCTCCTTTTTGCCAAAACAAATTTGTTCTCAAGTAACGATATATATGCATATATTATGATGTATTGGTATGGATAAGAATCACCGAAAACGAGCTTGTTCGCCACTCTCCGTTGTTTTTTTTTGAAGTGTACCCCAGGCGGGATACTTTCGACAATTACAATGGTTTCAAGAGTGAATTTGTCGTGTATATATCAAATGAAGCGTGAAGTGAAAAGTTTGGAAGCACTGGACAGCTGTTTCGACTTGGTTGGGTCTCGCTTTATTTGTCACACGGCGAAGGCATCTTTGAAATTGAATCAAGTCCACCGTTACTCACACGAAATTACAGCTGTGCTTGACAGACACATGTCAATGAAAAAATCTGTGCACATTTGGTGTAAACGTTCACGGTTTCATTCACTCATTAGCTTGCAATCACAAGTGTGCATCTGGACAGGGATGTGTTCCTAAAGATTCCCGAGCCTTCTCGTCCTCGTTCACATGAATAAACACTGTGTGTGCGAAGTTTTAAAATCGACTCAAACTAAGCAACTGCACACCCGAATGTAAGCAAATTCTGTAATCTGTGATACTGCAAAAGAATGATTAAAAATTTGGTCTCGTTTTAGGTAAAGTTTTACATAACAATACCAAAACATTTTAGTAAATCATAAGGGCTTTAGTTTGTGCTTGCTTTCTGATCTAAAGATGCATTCACAATATGAAACAACAGTACATGTTTTGTAAATCACTTACATGCGCTTGTGAGTAGTATTTACTTTTTTCCACATACGGTGAGTTTGCTTGAGCCACAAACTTCGGTATAGGTGGAGTGAGTAACCAATCGCCAAGGTGATCAAGCAATAAGCTGGCCAATAGATTCTGTTCTTGAGACCTTTATCAGAGTGACAGAGAAGCAAAGGGGTGAGAGTGGGGAGGGAAACAACGAATCATTCGCAATGTTTGGTTTCCCGGACAGATTTATCGATTTTCAAGTCAAATAGGTAACAGAGATGAGAAACGTTCACGTACTGAAAATGCTCAATAGTTCAAGCTTCTTCAATCAACAATTTTAGTGTATATTCGTGTGTATTCAAAATGAGAAACAGTCAGATCAGATGCCCGGTGGTCGACTGGGCAGTATGATTGCGCTCCACCTGTTAGGTCACCGACTTCTTTCCTCAGTTATGTGGACGAGTGGGAACGGCTGATGAAACCCAACCAGGTCAAAACAGATTTTCGGATCACACAATAGAAATAAGGATCTTAGTTTCAATAAAACTATCTCCTAAGACACTGTCGATTTTATGTCAACATTTGACTGATTGAAAATATATGCAACATATCAATGAAGAATGATTAACGAAATTTTCACGATGTCTGTCGTGCAAATGAAGTGAAACAGGAGTGTACCATCGCAAGCAGTGAATGAATACTGTATTGATGTTTGACTACATTTGCTGTGCATCGGTGCCGCAACTTTTACGGTCACCAATTGTATGTTTGTGGATTACACGCAACTTAAAATTTTGACGAGAGACTTCCGATGGGATTTTATCAATGAAAAGTGTGATCCCCTGGCAAGAATTTACAAATTGCCTCACGGAAATGGTGAAGGGCTGACCAAGATCAAGAACACCTACTAAACTGGTCAAAAACCAGTGACTCGATATCGAATAAAGAAATTGATCTTTCCGACGAATACCTCAAGGACAGCTTATATGAACGATTTCTTTGTAATAACACTTGGTATACCTACTGTCTAACTCAAAACATCTGTACAAAGTTGGCGCGAGAAGATAACTTAATTTACCAAGAAAAACTGATGCTCAAGCTTTTATCATCCAATCCCAAGCTGTTGTAAAAACTCATAAATGCCCCCAGAAAAGTTTAATTTGGCGTTCTAACGCTAAGATTTGCCGGACATGGTTCAGTCGCAACGGAGGCAGCTAAAATGTTCCAAATTCAGTACGCTTAAGTGTTGACTGCACATGCCAACAGTGGGCTATGACTGCCACTGGAAACATGGAAACAAGGAATAATTTCACCAAATATACGCTGTCTTAGTAACCCAGCTAACAACCTTCTCGGTACTCGCTCCCCCCCCCCCCTNCCCCTAGTTATCCAAGGTTTGGGATCCATTGTTGAAGAGAATGTGATTAGTCACTTGAAAAAGTAAGCAATCGATTGTTGTCTGCTAGCTGGCGCACTGTAATGTATTGCACTTATTAAACCACTAGGGGAAACATTTTCTCAAGGTCAAAGGTAGTACCGATCGGCACCGGACTGGTAGAACTATAACGAAGGGCGGATGTATATATCTGAATGAGATCTGTTAATATACTTCATTACTTGGGGAATCATACTGTTTTAAAATTGTACACCACAATTCATTTGGTACATCTGACCACTAACCGTATACAGTACAACAGGAATGCGGGTCAAACGTTTCTGTTAATCTTGTGAGCACTGTCATAACCAGCCGATGGAACACGATGGCTCCACGGTTAAACTTGATTTGGAGGCAAATTATCCAAGTGCAGTTTTCAGCAATGAACTGTGCGAATTCGTTCACGAGATTGATTTCGAATCAACTCACCCCATGGTTTCCAGACGCAGAAACAGTAAGAGGGGATAGTGAGAGGCAAGGAACACGGAACTTTGGATTGATTTGAGCACGTCCTGCAATATTTAAAAATAACGATCAGGGCGGAGAGAGAGAGAGAGTTAATGTTAGTCGGAATTGGCGGACGAACGGGCAGAGTAGTCTTAGTGATCTGAGGTATGAGTTTGNGTTTGTACATATATATACATTTATTTATTTATTTTCACACGCGTCTGACGCCAGACTGTACAAACAAATCATGGTACAATAATATTTACGAAAAACGTTTGCACCTTGGACGTTCGACCCCGTCGAAAGGGTGTATGATCCGATGAACTGGGCACCGGCCCTTAATGGAGTGTGGTTTCCACACACCGCCCCGCTGCCTTGCGGTTCAGGCTTTGGTTAGTCAAAGGCTCCGGTAGTTAAGTCCTCAACAAAAAGATTCACTTGCCTTGGCCTGGGCAACCTTCAAATATTTCACATTTCACATGAAAATCATGCATATCAACGATTTCTTATGATCATAACGGAAAACGAAACAGTATGACAAAATATCAAGATTCATATCGCCTTCTCCGAAATAAACAAATATTATCTCTGAGCTTACTAGTTCAATTTCCGCTTATTCTGTGTTATATACCAATGAATAATTAAAGGTCCTATGGCAAAACGAACTGAATCATATTCAGACAACATATCGTCTCACAACGGAATGGTTTCAGTCCAGTCCAGGTAAACTGAAAAGTTATCTGTATAAGCATAGTTTTACCGAGGAATTAGCCATAAATGGAACCATATGTTACTTGGCCCTTCAGAGGGATGCCACAAAATTATCACCCCAGAAGGACGTGTGTTCGAATCCCACCGCCTTAGTTTTTTCATTGTCTGTTTTTCGACAGCCCTTTGATTAGCCGCTTCTCCCTTACTGGAAATGGTATCATTGTGTATTTAATAAAAGGAAGTAAAAATGAAAAAGATTATTTAGTTAAAACTGGGATTGTAAGGAATTTGTTTTTCTTTGACTGCAAAAACGCTTCTATGGGGTGCTAAAAATGGAGATTTGCGCTGTCCAGCCGTTTTAAATTAGAATTATAGTTTAGTTTAATATTATTTGATCGGCAATCACTTATTACAATATTCATCAGTCGTTGGAAAACTGGATCACTAGATTGCATAAACACATTGCAAATATCATCATCAGCTCCAATTTTTCCACAACTGCAATATCAACAACGTACTTGGTGCATAATTTATGATTCTTTTCAAGGACAGCGTAGTGAAACGGTAGAACTCACTTTCAAAGGCACTGAATACAAATATCGATTCAAAAGAATAGCTTCTCTCGAGGGGGTAAATTGGTTCGTGGGTGTACGGTCCGTGGTACATGAGGAAACGTCTGTTGGCCGTTCCGCGGGTTCAACGAACCATTCCACATCGATCCCAGGTGTTCGAGTCATAGATTGGTTTGCAAACCAACAATTCAAGACCAGAGCGCTGATTTTTGTTTGTTTTGAGGTTCAAACGAGATAGACTAATTGGTTAAAATCGAAGACAATCAGTGAATCGATACATTGATCATATTTATTGATGTCGCATATTGCGATCCCCGTTGATGACCAAGCTGTATCTTTTTTACTCTCTCAAATACTTTAGATCTTTCTCCCTTCTCCTTAAAAGTAACTTCACTCTAAGGCATCGTGAACTGACTGCCATTGTTCATGTTTTCTGACTCTGCTCCAGAGTTATAGGGGTTACTTTTGTAAAACTCACGCCGATTTGTGCTTTCCGTTTCAAGTTTTTTTTTTTAATCCCGCTCTTATGAAATTCATCACACTTTATTTTCTGTTTACATTGTTATTTGGCACATGACATTTTTATGTTGAGATTGTGAAAATTTCACTAGCCTCGGTGGGATTCGAACCCACGTGTGGACGGCACCTACGTTTTCGTACAGTGCACGCTCTACTGACTGAGCTTCGAGACCACACCGATAGCACACTGATCTTTTCACATTCGAATTTACCCTTTATTTTTTTCAATTTCAGCAAACAAATGTGTGTCCAAAATCTTTTTCAACAACTTAGTACAAATTTGCAGTTTTGTTCTGAGAGCAAACAACAGTCACGGTCTGATACTTTCATTTTCGTGTATATCTGCACATCTCTACTTTGTTTTTCGGAATAATTCAGTCTCCGCAACAGGAAAAGCTGAATAAACGAGCTAAAGCTGAAAATAAACTGCGATACGATGATTTATAAGAGAAGAGAAAAAATCTAGTGTTTCTGCTTAAGTTAGTAGTCATTCTCAAATAAAATGGCAGAATGACGAAACTCACGGATCCACTGAAATTGTGCACCAATGTAAATTAACCTCTAGCCATCTGAACGGCTAGTGACGTGGAGAAATGATTTATAATAGGACTATTGATGAGAAAATTCAAAGTCACACACACACACCATGGAATGGTGTAATGACTAAAACGGATCAGTGGACAGACATTTCGTCTTTGTTTGGACTCATCAACGAGGCTTGTTTTTTCACGTGGGACTCAAACGGTTAACGATTAAGATTGTGCGCCGAAACGTTTTCCGTTTATCCATACGGTCATCACCTTTAANTTAAGCAAAAAAATATCATCCGAAATAATTTTCACTAGTTCACGCAATTCAAGAACACCAGCGTGTGTGTATATGCATGATTGTTCTTTCTCAGACTCACTCTTTGGAAGTTCAGTGGTTTCCGATATCTGACATTCACAAGCAATCGACTAACTGGATTATTGTACTCATGCTCTCAGGACGATGATCGCGACCCGTTTCGCTCGAGAGTAAGTGTCTTGGCTCCCAACTTTGATATTTGTGGTTCGAGCCCCAGCATGGAGACACAGATCTTATGCATTGTCCAAACAAGCTTGGATACCCTCGGGTTAAGCGGAGCTAAATGCTCCCAGGCTCGTCCCCGGGTTGTGGATAAGGTGATACCTTCACCGAAGAAGGTTAGTTGTGAATAAGTTGTGGTATACCGCAACAAATAAGCAGTCGCGAACAAACAGCGGCGGCGCTACCCGGGTGTAGTGGGTTTCAGGTTGTTTACCTGGTTCCTGGTTAAAAGCTGCATAAGCCCGATGACGGTGTCTTGACAAAGGTCGATGTGACTGGCCTGTTAACACTGAAGTGATTGACTTCCGAGGCGAGGGATTATTTGCTGCTGCCTTGCAGTTCGCAATTGGATTTACAAAGGCTAAAGATGCACTCTCAAAATTTAAAAAACGCCGAGTGACTCTGTGGATGTCCATCGTACCAAACTCCTAAGCAACTTCATGATCATGACTTCTACGGCGGTAGTTAGAGACATTCATGGAGCCGGCTTATTCTTTCCAAGGAGCCAGCCGCAGTAAACAATCTTTAATGTGTGTAGTTACTGCATTCTCAAAAAGTGAAACTGACGCCGAATAACACGGCGCAGACATTAGTGCCTGTCAAATCACATGGGCTATACAAGATATTTTCACTACACATCCTTGTGTGATGAACAGCAGACGGAGTGGATTCCATAGTCATGACTATCTACTAGTTACCGGTAGCTTAAACTCCGGGACTTTGAATGGTGAGCCACATAAGGCCCCACTAGGGTAGACGTGGTTCTGAACTGGACGACAACAAGGCTGCTTACCACCAAAGTTGGGTGGCGGTGGCAGGGCTCGATCCTCTGACCACTGGGTCTAAAGTACGCTGATGACAGCGACTGAACTACTGCACCACCATCACCACAGGATTGAAACTCTGGTTCTATGTGGTTAAATTGGTTGCATTACCGTTTTCCCGTCTATCAAACATCTCCGTAAGATTTTATGCCCGTTCGGCTGTGGAAAACAAAATAGTACAAACATTTCGAAATCCAATCTATTTTCGGCAATACACCAGTAGGCCAAGGGGAAGATTGGTGAGCGTATGTGGGCGCAACTAATTTATGATAAATTTTGGGACGCTGAACGTACCCTGAACAAACAGCATTTGGGGTTCGTGAACGTTTGAATCGAGGAGTAGACAAAATTTCCTTGAGGCCTTGCAAGTATTTCTAAATCACTCATATATCATTGGGTATTCAATAAATGAATTATTATTTAAATGTAACGTTTTATAATTGGTTGTTTAAATAATTCACCAATAGACCCAATCTTACCGTGTTCCCAACAGTAAGAGTTGTCTGATCGCTCTCGTCACGGTTAACATATTTCGGCGTCGAATCAAATTTATCTGTTCGGTCAAATTTGCATCGCACTCACGATTCAAATTTCGAACTGTAATCAGACGGGCCGATTGGATGTGATAATGTGTGATCGGTTCGAGCAGATGCCTGTTTGACCAGTCGTCTTGTTCCACCGTGGAACGCGGATCACGGACGGTGCGATAGCGCATCAATAGTTGATACTGATGAGATAGCATGAACCGGTAGAATCCTTGAACGGAAAATCGATCTGAGCAAAACACGTGACAAGGAACCAAGGTTACTGTATTAGTTTCATGCAGTCATACAAATTCAACGACCGAAAAAATGTCTTGCATTAAGGGTGCGTCGAAGGAGGGTTCACTTGGAGCATGGAAAATTAAGTCACTCCTAGAACTATTGCATTTTTATGATCATTTTATACAGAACACAAGAATGACATCTTTATCTGAGTACGTTTTCAAGGTAATTTCGTTTGCAAAACCCGTCTTAGCAAACAGCACTAAGTCAAAACAATGCCTAGCATCCTGCGGTGACTGTCTGGCTTTTTGATAGAATTTTTTCACAGCATACCATCCCATGAAATCAACTCGATTTTCACGATGCATTTGCGGTGAAATTTCTAATTGAGAAAATGTAACCTGAACAATCTGGATGAACCCTCATAAAGGACATGTCAACAAAGTGCACAAATTATTCAGTCCTTCTGGTCTGTAGACGCCCTCAAATTGTGACCTCCTCACCTCATTGTCCTGCAGTTTTGATTCCACAATCATGAGTTTTATGTCCAAGTCAATTTAGGTGACCGGCCTGTATTCTTTTTTTAAAGCTTTATTGGTATCACTTTTGGTGGCCGTGAGGTTAGATCATCATCATAGACATATAAACTGCTCCGTGAGTTTGTCCTTTCGAACCCGAAGAAGTAGGCACTAACCACGTGTGGTCATAACCAGCCTCTCCTCTTCCTGACTCAACACCACGCCAGTCTAGGGTTTTATCCCAAATTTCATCACATTCTTCGTCAATATGAGGTCCTGGACAATCGTGTTTTCATGAGGGAGAGGCACGGTTTCGTGATTAGGATATCAGTTCAATCAAGATCCTGCACATCAAATCATCCGTGAATGTTCCACCTTCATCACGTGAAGAACCGAAAACCCCTTATGCAAACATGTTGAGTACTGAACAAAAATGTCAAGGACTTGCCTGTCCGTTGGTAATTGACATTCCACAGTTAAATTCCAAATGAACCATATTGATGAAGTGACACGCGTTTAATAAGTATGAACAAAAGCTGAAGACAAAATTCAATTTTTAATTGTCAACTTAAGTGAAAACTAAACGATTCCAGTCGTCAACATTCTCATGCTCCGGCTCCTTATTTTCGTTGTTCGAACCCCTCAACCAGCACCCAATTATGGTAACAGACAGTGTAGCTGTCGGTCAACTCAATAAATACCACGTCCGTTGAAGCCTTTTGAAGTTCGCTATTCAAAGTCCACGATCCCAAGTTTCATCGTCGTGACCACCAAGCTTACTCCTTCAAGCTCTTTATCTTATCTAGCTTTTTAAAATAGTTTGAAACAAAATAATAATTTGGACAATTTTCCCGTCATACAAACTGTATCTGTTAGACGTCTCTACAACCTGTATGAAAATATGATGAATTTGGTTCTAAGCGAAATTCTGTCACAAACTCTGAAACATTGAAAAACCCGAAGTAAAAACGTATTTCACAATCGTTAAAAGGTCTTTTGAGAAATTCTTTCGCTGAATGGTAACACAAGAATAAGTCCTAGTTGGGTTAAAATAGAATAGGTATATCGATCGATTTTTCATATTTCCTTATCACATTTAGTTGAGAGATCTCGACACATATTATGCGTTCTTATTGTATTTGGGATGAGGGCGTTTCATCATATACTATCTACCAAATCTAGTGTTAAAAGTCACGGTAGAAATGTTAAAAATATTCACATCTGCAGCATTACAACAAAACGATCAGTCATGCAAAACCTAAGATTTTCCCTTTCTCGAGGATTTGACTGTCAAATACATCTACTGTCCCAGTTATCTCTTCCCGGCCAAATTATCAATGTTGTCCAAATATTTGCTCACAATTCGAGGTGGCAATCAACTGACTCGTTTGCTATAGTACGGATTCAAAGACATCGTTCGCTAATCGTATATTGGTTAGTTAGGTTGGAATCTAATGGCTCACTTCCAAGCAATCAACAAATTACACAAAGGTTCCCAATACATGAATCTTATATTCTGTTTTTCCCTCAAAGTTTCATAAATTAAATTAAAGTATTTCGATCAATACTATTTATTCCAACTGAATTTTCACATCCAGATAAAAATTATGTTTCAGTGTCAGAAAACAGTTCACCTTGAGTGATTTTATTTTGTGCCTTCTCGAGGATTAGATCATTTTGTGATCAAAAGTATTTTTCTTTTATGCAAACAAAATAACGATCAGTTGGATCATGTGAAAACATTGGATGAAAATGCCCATTCTCACTTTGGTCTCTGGATGACCGGTTCCATTCGTATCGTTCAACTAATCGTCGAAATTCATCCACACTTAGTTGGAATGCGCTATGCCCAGCTTGTGTTCCAACGGACTGGTCACGTGATGCTCTGCCCCGATCAATCAATCCGTGGTGGCTACTAGCAGTTCCGCTGCGTCCGGACCGAGCTCCGGTACGATGCTCACTTCGTGATCGATGTGCGGTGCTGTGGCACGACGCACCGGTTTGTTCTGGTCCCGTCGAATTCACTTTGCTCTGACTGCGATAAAAGTGTCTTGCTTCCCACTGCATCAAATTGATATGTTTTATTTTTCGGGGGCAATCCAAACGACTTGTGGATGCGCACAATTCTCGATCGTGACTGATTCTGATCGATTTTGATACACTCTATAAGTAAGAAGTTTTATACATAATGTTATATAAGTAGTCAGTACGTCATTCGAAATTCAAATTTATATACAAGTGAAAACTCAAACTGTTTAAAGAATCAAGCGACCTTCGATGAGCATTAGATAAACAACCAGCAATCCTAGGCTAATTCTTTTAGAAACTTCTGGCGATAATCGTTTAGTCTTTAGTTTGTGAAGCACAGACATAACCAGTGTAGAATTCAACTACTTCGTGGTAATCTCATCAGCTGTGTACATACATTCAGATCACGTTTCGTTAAAAGAGTGACAGGTTTCGGGACAGGCGAACACACGCGGGGAAGAGAAATCAATCAATACGAAGGCCAAAGGTCACTAAGAGGAGCCGGACTGGACGTTGGGGTAGGGAGCGGAATCACTGCGGGGGTGGGGGGGGGAGAGGGAGGAGGACAGTGACACACCTACCTGTGATCATGATGCTTCTTCTTGCTCTCATGAAATTGTTAAAGGGAACTGGTTGCATGAAATAACCAGTGTAACCGAAGGATTCAATTAAAGAGAGATGTTTAGAGTATGATGTTTTGATTGGCCTATTCGTTTTTTCAGCGGCACCAGACACTATTAATGGTCTTGGGCGTGGGTTTCACTCCTTGGGAGTTGGTTAATTCCCCACTGGTTGAATGCATTGAAATGCGGTAGAAATGTCTGTGATAACTGACACAAAGCACTGGATAGCTGTTTCGTCCCGTTTGTGCATACATTTTGTGTCTCGGTGTGAGGACTCGAATTAAACATGATACTCTAGATTGAGTTATTTGCACAATGTGGTGACCATCGACTGGGTTAGTCAGGAGTAAAGGTTTGAAGTCCCAACCCGAAGGTTCGCGGTTCCAGTTCTGACACGGGGACATAAAAACTGTGCACTACTAACGAGTCTCAAACTGGACGAAAAAGCTAGCCCGGTGCTTTTTGTCAGTTATCACCAACATTTCTATCGAATAAAACATAGATAGATGTATTTATATGCTTATATTTGTAAGACTCATTTGTTCTTCTCCAGAAGATTGTAAGCAGCTCATTGGAGAACTGAAGTTTACTTACCCTATTGAGAAACTCATTCAGCCCGTTGTGGTCCATTAGTCCGAATCCATCGGAACTGGAAAAAAGAGTAAGACAACGAATAAATGCATGTTCAGTTATTACGTCATCACCGTGGAATACATTTCTGTTTCGATCGTTTCACAGAACACAGGCTCGTTTTCCGAGTTTGATAACCAGACCGGTATAACGAATTACGTAATATACATGTATGTACTGACGAACATGGAACTATACGCTGAAGGTTAGTAGTCTGTATTCAGAAATTGTTTGAAGATCAACTCGAACTCTGTCTCGTTATTCATAGTTAATTCCCCGTATTTTTCGTGCTTAGAAAAACGGGACAAAAAGGGGTTAGTGAGGGAAAGGGAAGCCGACTGCCTCAATAATGTGTCTCCAATATGAGGCCTCGTGTATCTGGACAGTTCCGTTTCGACTTCGTGCTTATCGTCAGCCACGAAGGATTGTGCTAAAGGAGGCGATCAAACGGACAAACAGATAAATATTTCATTTCTTGTTCACATTTTCTATTTTGTATAATGATATACAGGGCCTAAATTAATGCATCAACAGTTCCGTTCTATGCTACCTCAGGACACAAACAAATAGAAGGTTTTCTAATAGGGCTTTTCAATTAAATAGTTATCCTCGATTTAGTTTCAATCTTCATAAAGACACTTTTATTGATCTCCTTTCATAAAAGTTTGACCATGAACCAAAAACATGAAACATTTGAACACAAGTGATACAAAGCATCAGTAAGCTTACGTTTGCACAACTACTCACGAACAGACTTCGTTCAACTGTCACTGAAAACAATTTTCGCATATCTGAGATAACGCTACCGGTGCAAAACATTGCCAATACAAAGAAAAAAATTGGGTGCATATATGCAGATAGTCCCAGAAAAAGTTGAACTTCGTAAATGTATGCGATCGATTTTATGGGTCTGTAGCCGAAATTCCGCCGCGAATGTGCAAAAAACGGTATCAAGAAAATACTGATTATTGACAAGTCTTTTGTGCACAATGTGTTGGTTAAGTTTTTTGCTGATGCTGTTACTTTTCCAGGTCGAACTCTCTGAAATTGGGCTGTTCGTGAAAGTGAGAACAGATATTTGGGGTGATTTGTTGTGTTACTGGAACAACAGTGACGAGTATCAGTAGATTATCACGAAAAATGCCAAACGTGAGGGAAATGTTGAATAATCAGAATATATATAATACCAAGTAACAAACGATGTGGGATGCGCGTCGTTGACTACAGTTATAAAAAATCAATAACTAGGAAATGTGTGTTGCTTGGGTTTTAGCGAGTCCGTTGGGTAACTACTCACAAGTTACATGCATCAGGTAGCACTAATGATGTAATCTATCGATTTCGAAACAACCGTGCATTACTGTCGGGGTCGTTTTCAGCCTCATATTTGTTTGCTCTGTACCGGAAAAGTTTGTTTGGCGATCGAACGGAACCTTTCACAACCGATGTGAACATCAGAACCCATGGCAAAGTATAATCTTCCTCTTTTGAGTTGTCGCCAACACAGGTTACTGTTCTCAACGAAGTCCTTGTTTTCAAAAAGCTATTCACCTCGTGAAAACGAAGCAATAATTATTACAGAGTTCATATAAGCGTAATCCGTACAGCTTAGCAATAATTCTTCCTTTCAAAGGCAATTTATCAAGACAGTACGTCCCTCTTGCGTACTCTCTAACCCATTTTTCAACTGATGGGTGAACAGTATTCTATGCANACTTCACCTTTATGTTCTATCCTCAGTTCCACCGGTCAACCGTATACCATACTCGAGTCTAAAATGATTCCGAGTGTTGAATAATTATTTTAGTCAAATATTCATCGAATTCACACTGATATTTTGTGACTTATTCTGTGATGGCTCGATCATCTACCTGATTCACGCTGAATCCGGACCACTTTCTTCTGTTTGATGTGAAGAGTTTGAAAATTGCAGTTATTGATCAAACTCGCACAATCTGGTGATCATTTTGGTAATGCATTTCATTTTTAAATATCATACGTGTATATCCATAGCAGTATAAATGAAGAGTATTCATTCCGAACTTTTAGCTTGCACTGTATCACCGCTTGAATTCGTGCAACCTTGAGTGTCGGGATAAAATGTTTAGTAGTTCGAAAGTTACAGCTCTGATTTAAAATATATCTCTTGTAAATTAGCATGGTAGTTTATTCTCTTGGACAAATTAATGCCGTTTCAAAAGGGCGTTTATTATGGTCAATATA